TTGGGGTCGTTCATTATGGCTCCAGGGCACCGAAATTGCAATAATATAACGGGCAATTGCATCCATTTTCCGACGGCTTTTAGACTTGCGTGGACGTGAAGGAGGAGGAGCCCCTTCCAAACATAGGCGTCAACATTTTCGTTCGTATGACTGCTTCATAGTAATGGTAAAGAGGGTGGCGAGGACTCAACTCAAACCCTTTACGTCGTTTATGCCCTCGTTGAGATGCAACTTTCGTCGAGGTTTGACGCGGTACGATGTCAACGATACAAGCAAATTCACTCGGCGAATAATCCACGAAGTGTTCCCCACGGAATTTGTAAGACTCCACTTGAGTAATAAAAATAGTCCTGCCTTCAACTTTGTAAGCACGTGCTCCTCCCGAGGTATATTGTCCACTCAAACCAGTTCTAAGCTCTGATAAATCGTCGGAGTGAGCAAAACTTGCAAGCTCTTCAATGACCTGCGTCATTGGAATATTTCCACCTTCGTCCGCAGAATCTGAACCACTATCAACGTCAAAATCGTCACCAATGGGACCTTCATCATCTTCGAGCGATCCACTTTCACTGTCACTGGTATCATGATCATCATTCACCTCGTTCATTTCCATCTTCCTTAATTCATCCATGTAACCATGCGGAAAAATGTACCAAAACGCTTCTGACGATATGAATGACTTGTGTCCAAGCAAAGCATACACCATAAGCGATAGAGGCCATTCGTGGGCACCACCAAACGCGTTTACCGTTCTTGTTGCCAAATATTGTGCTTGCCGAATCGGCGTCCCGCTGTTTAGAGCTACACTTGGATATTTGAGTACATCTTCCAGTGCGGTTAACATTACCGCAGCAGCATTTTTCAAGCCAGCGCCTTCTTTTGTCATGTAATTCTGCTGGTACTCATCTACCATATCTCCAGCATCTTCTCCGTTCATGATACTTGAGTTGCAGTGAGAAGCAGTCAATCCAGATAACAGCAGATTTGTTTCAATAAACATTCCATCTGACTCTGGGCGGAACTGCTCCCATACTATCGGCCCGGGAATGTGTGGACGAAGAAATTCACCTTGTTCAGGGTCATATCCAGCGTCAAGCTTTACTTCAAGCTCCGGATTGAGTGATTTCCCCGTCAATACACCATCGGACTTGCTGATATGCAGCGGTTGCGTCGGGAGGTTGTGAATTCCAGCAGGACGGCAAAGTCGACATTGGGTTTTGCCCCGCTTTCCTTTTATGCAAGTCCTTGAATGGTTATGAATATTGGTCGCGACAACTGACGCTTCAATCGTATCTTGAAAAGCCGCAAAATTCGTGCTTACCGGAGGCAGCGTGACTTCACAAGCACGCGGTAAAGGTTCCATACATTCCCGCTCAGCTAACCAAGCTCTCGTGCTGGGAGACAAATGATTTGTAGAGACGGCATTTATCCACTTAGCAATGTACTCGCGCAGTTCTTGGCAGGAAGCTCCGCGCGTCAAAATCTCTGGTGTAAACGATGAGCCGTACACTGTCATGTGTAAGTGTAAGCGCCCGTCCACTTGAGGCTCGACGACAGCATTAAATCCAGCCACTCTTCCGTACGCACCCGCTTCGCGCTCCGTATAATTGCGACTTTTTCGCACGTCTTGAGAAGCCGGACATCGCAAAATC